TTACAACTCTGACAAAATTTGTAGGGAAGCATCCCACACCTCAGTAACCCATGCCTTCTGGAACCAACACTGCGCACCTCTGCAGGGCATTTCATAGGAACTCTTTCCAAGTTGTGGTTTTAAAAACATTAGCTTACCAACTAGGGGTTTCTGTAAGGCTTTTTCATAGAGCCTTTGATGCGTCCAATTTTGGAGCACAAGTGGAAGCCAGGAAACTAGAATGGGGCCTTCCTACCAGGGAAGGGAGAGTAGTAGACTGTAAGTAAAACAGAAAGCAGTGATACAGGACCCTGAGGACTGAGTATCTGAAGCAGGGCTGGGTGTGAGAGCAGGGATGGGGAAGTCACAGTGAAGAGGAGAGCTAACCCAACTGGAGGTGACGTCCTGCTATCTCACAACCCAAATTAAAGGAAACTTTTTATTTTTAAACTTAAAAAAAAAAACAAACTGAATTTGCCAGGTGGTGGTGGCGCACGCCTTTAATCCCAGCACTAGGGAGGCAGAGGCAGGTGGATCTCTGTGAGTTCTTGGCCAGCCTGGTCTATAAGAGCTATTTCCAGGACAGGCTCCAAAGCTACAGAGAAACCCTGTCTCAAAAAAAAAAAAAATTAAAAAAACCTGAACTTTTTTTCATACAGTGTATTTGATCATGATTTTTTTGTCCCTCAGCTCCTTCTAAGTTCTCTCCCTCTCCACCTCCCTAGCCCCTAACTTTATGTTCTTTTATTCTCTCTCTTAAAAGAAAACAAACAAAACAAAGCAGACAAGAGTGATTCGTATCCCTGAGACTCCATTGGAGAATGGTTATCAATTGGGCATAGCTGGGTTATGGATGTGGGTTTGTGTCCACATCTGCTCTCAGCTCTGGGACCCACAGAGCCATACAGGCCCTGTGCATGCTGTCTCCGTCTCTGTGAATTCATGCGTGTGCCGGTCCTGCAGAGCCAGGCCCCTTGCTCAGCAGCACATGACCAACACTAAAGAACTCAGGAGGGGCTGGAGAGATGGCTCAGCGGTTAAGAGCATTGCCTGCTCTTCCAAAGGTCCTGAGTTCAATTCCCAGCAACCACATGGTGGCTCACAACCATCTGTAATGAGGTCTGGTGCCCTCTTCTGGCCTGCAGGAATACATGTAGACAAAATATTGCATACATAATAAGTAAATATTTAAAAAAAAACTCATGACATCTTTGTACATTCTTTGCCTTATAAATTTTGACAGGCATTTTCCCCTTTGCTTTCTTTTTTCTTACTTATAAGTCCTTTGCATAGACATTACAGCTTTCAGTTTTGTGTTTTTAGGGGATTCTTCTGCATATGAACATGCGTGTCTCTGTGTCCACATACGTCTCTTCTGCTTTTCCTGTGACCCGTTTTCTTCTCTTTGGTTTTTTTCTAGTCCAGTTTGTTTGTTTTTTCTTTTATCTTGTGTTATTATTATTCTTTAGATGCCCGTTTTCTAACGTGAGATAGAAAGGGTGTAGAATCTGTTGGGAAGGAAGATGGGGGATGTTTTTGGTAGTTGGGGGAGGGGAGACCATGGCTAGAATACATTGTATGGAAAAATATTTTCAACAAAAGAAAGAAAAGAGAACACACAAACAAAAGAAACACACATACATACACTATGAAAATGAATACAAAATAAAATAACAAAATTAAGAAACATTACAAAAATAGCCCCACAGAAACACACAAATGAAATTTAAATAAACAAGCAAAAGAACAATAAGATTAAAAAAAACTGCCAAAAAAAAAAGCAAAAATGAGATATAGTCTACAAAAACACCATTGTTTGTTTCATGTTAGCCAGCCACTCCTGGTGTGGAGTCTGCCCTAAAGTGTGGTTAATCTAGCCCGAGTTAGGGTTTCTGCTGCTGGGAAGAGACACTATGACATCAGCCACCTTACAAAGGAAAACATTTAATTGGGGCTGGCTTACAGTTCAGAGGTTTAGTCTATTGCTGTCATAGCAGGAAGCATGATGGCATGCAGACATGGTGCTGGAGAAGGAGCCAAGAGTTGTACGTCTGGATCTCTGAGTCAGCAGACAGGAGAGAGAGAGAGAGAGAGAGAGAGCGCCAGACTTAAGCTTCTGAAACCTCAAGTCCACCCCAGGGACATACTTCCTCCAATAAGGCCAAATCTACCCCAATAAGGCTATGAGTCCTAATCTTTTCAAATAATGCCACTACCTGTGAGCCTATGGGGGCCATTTTCATCCCAGCTACTACACCCAGTGCGACTTCATTGGTAAAAGTAACTTTTAAAGGGTCTTTTCTTTAAAGCATTGAAGCAACTGACTGTCCACAACAGAGCCCTTCTTGTGATCCCAGTAAAGAACTGGGACAGTTGGTGGCTTTTAGGGGAGAGAAAGTTGAGAAATACTGGATTTGATCCATCTTTTTGATAAAGGCCATTTTGACGGGTAGAGCCTGGCGTCTCCTGTTTGTTTGCCTTTGGTATTTCTGATGGATTAGTGGTGTGGAATACCTACTGAGCTGAGCCGTGGCATGTCTGCTTTCAAGAAATGTCCACTCCCTTTCCACTGTGTGAATATGTGTATTTGCTTTCCTATTATTGACTTGTTTGAGTCCCTTACATATTTTTGGATATTTACCTCTCATCAGATATGTTTTATAAATATTTTCTCCCATTCCATTGTTTTTTATAAGCATCTCTTTTTGGGAAGATGATTCTTACTCTGAACTGTTTTTATACTGATAGATGAAGTCTTCATGTACACACAAAACTATTTCTGTATATTTTTGTATTCTGTTCTTTTTGTCATTTTCTATAAATACAAGCTAGCTTAATTTAGTTGGAAATGTCACTCATATATTCTGTATCCTTGGCAAAAGTTTGCTACATTTTCTGCCAGTTGCTGAGAGTATGCTCAGACTCCATGTATGCTTATGGATATTCTTACTTCTTCCAGCTCTATGTATGAGCATCATGTATCATGAGCTTCATGTGTCTTAGAGATCTGTTGGGATATGCATGCACATTTGTGCATACTTTGGTAACTTAGGGAATCTGACCTTTCAAAACTTAGTAGTATTCCCCTACTGATTTTCTGAGATTCACTTTTATGTAAATGTAGGTGTTTTCTTTCATTAAAGCTCTGCATATATGTTTTATTGGTCATTTTATTTTTTTGACCTACATTTCCCTTTATCCATAAATGGATTTTGTTTATAGTATGCAGTTTAATCCTGGTGTTATGATCCAATACAATGAATGAATGAGGTTTTAATTGTTATATTTAGTTTAAATTTAGTGTAATTATTTCTACTGAATTTCAACCCACTACATTATAGCTATTTTATTTGTTGAGTCCCTTGGGTTTTTCCCCTTACTTTGCATTTAATTTTGAGTTTTGCATTTATATATTATTAAATTATTATAGTTTTATTTTAAATAATTATTTTAGTCATTGACCTAGGTTATATAGCACACACATTTAATTAATTAGAATCTACCTTTTAAAAATATAATACATAGCACAGAATATGACCCAACTTTATTTTATCTTCACTTATTTCTCCTCTAGAACTCCTTGCATGTATGTATGGTCTCTTAACATCTTTTAAAAATGCAGTAAGACTTAATGTAACTGCTTTGGTGCTCCAGGCCTAACTTCTGTCCGTTGAAAGTTAATTTTACTCAGGCACCTGGCATGTGTTTATTACAATTCTCTGTGCATATGTAGAGTTACAGGACCGTGAGCTGAATATGTCATCAGAAGTCTGTTGTGGAATATTATTTTAAGATGTGTTACATTTGTTTAAGCTGTGGAACATTTGTTTTAGTGATGCGAAGATGTGTTGCGTTCTTTCATATTGCATTTGTTTAACTCTGTGAAGCTGTGTTGCTTTGCCTGCCTAAAACACCTGATTGGTCTAATAAAGAGCTGAACAGTCAATAGCTAGGCTGGAGAGAGAAATAGGTGGGGCTGTCCGGCAGAGAGAATAAATAGGAGGAGAAAGCTGGGATGGGAAGATCAAGAAGTGAAAGAAGGAGAGGACGACTCCATGGGCCAGCCACCAAGCTACACAGCCAGCCATGGAGTAAGAAGTAAAGAAAAGGCATGTAGGAACAGAGAAAGATAAAAGCCCGGAGGCAAAAGATAGATGGGATAATTTACGAAAAGCTGGGTAAAAACAAGTCAAGCTAAGGCTGGGCATTCATAATAAAGAAAAGGCCTCCATGTGACTATCTGGAAGCTGGGTGTTGGGCCCCCAAAAGAGTAAAGAGTAAAAAGCAACCAACTACAGAAGTCCTTCTGCTTGGTCTTCAGAGTCTAAAAGGCTTAATTCAAACTGATCTTACTTTAAGGCATTCCCGTAAGTTCTTTCTCAAAGTTGAAACTTAAACCACTGTGGCCTGTCATGCCCTCCATGTCTCTGTTTTCTTGCTCTCTTGCTTTGTGTGTGGTGTGGGGACGTTCAGACCATGATGATCTCTGTGAAGAACTCCCCTTGATCTCCACCCACAGATGGAACTCCAAGCAATCCCTTCTTAGCTCATTCTCCTCAGCAGAATACAAAAGTGCGGTGGGCACTTCCTGAGCTCCTTTAAGGACTTGAAGAAGCCCAGACTGTTCAGTCACTCACGAGAACGCTGAGCTCAGAACCCTCCCCCTGAAGCTTTCTGATTTATTTCATTCAAATCATGGACTCTTAGGAACCCTGGGACTCCAATGTTTGGCTGTTCTTGAAAAAATATTATTTTCCCTACGACTTGATTTTCTTAAGAGCCCATCAAATGCAATGACCCTGGGTATGCTTTTTGGCAGCAGCAAGCAAAGCCAGTAAAAATCTTAGAATTTTCTGAGAGATGTCAGTTGTGAGGAAAGAAAGGCCCTTGGCATCTTGGACTAGTATCTAGTTATGAACCCTTGGTAATCATGAGCAAACCTGCAAGAGACACTTTCAAGATTTCCTCTTTAAGTCATGTCCACAGCATAACATTTTCTTTTTGTCTTTTTCCCCCTCAAGGGGTGCTACATCCATTGTGTACAGATGCAAACAGAAGGGGACCCAGAAGCCCTATGCTCTCAAAGTGTTAAAGAAAACAGTAAGTTTATTTCATTATATAATAGTATCTCTGAGAGAATTGAGAAGCAAGACATCTGACTCAAAAATCAAAGTGATCACGGAGAAGGCAATTGCTGTCTGATGGAAGCCACGTGAGAGAGACACTGGTTCTTAAACTGGATTTGTGGAAAGGAGGATTGCAAGGAAAAGCATTGGAGCAGGGAAGGAAGTATTGTATTCAGGTGTGCTCATGGGTATATGTGTGTATCTATGGAGTGAGGGCGCCAGACTGCATTTTAATATGCCAGTTCTCTAGTATTAGCACACTAGAGAAGCCTGTGACTTAGAAGAAGATGAAGTGGAACTTGAATGTCTGTGTTTTGGGAGGAATCATCAGCTTCTAATCTGCCTAGGCTTTCTAAGGGTGGGTGTGTTGTAGACGTGCAACTCGACAAATGTTGCTGCTTCCCAGGCTAGACCTTCAAATTTAGACAAGAAGGGAAGCTTTTGTTCTAGAATTTTGCTCCTTTTGCCGAAGCTCATATAGGAGCTAGACAAATGTCCGCCCACATGTGTCTAAGGTTCCTTTGTAACGCTAATGCGAAGACAGAAAGCCTGTGAGGTCACTTATTGGGTGGTGTCCCTCTGTGACACTCTTTCAGCCTTACAGTTCTTTCTGTTCTTCTCTGTTTATGGGTTAGATTCTGCTCATAAAACTACAAAAAGGCAAGACACACTTCATAGCATACTGTTCCTTTGTCAAATTTTATATGAACAGATATGGGAGATGTGTGGACTTCTGAAAACCCGGTTGCAAAGTGTCCCAGAGAAAGATGTGTCAGGCCTTTCAGTGGCAAGGGAGAGGAGGCTTCCTTCTCCAAAAGGCTGCTTGTTTCTCCAGCTGTTATGTGCTGCCCAGGGCAGGGGCATCTACAGTGTCAGGAAGGACGAACTTAACAGTCCAGGATTTTAGCCAACCAGAAACAAAATGACATTCTTACATAGTCTGTTAGAGTCCTAAGCTGTGCAAAAAAAACCAAACAACAACCCCACAGTTAAATTAGAGTAGATAACAATTTAAGTGGCAATTAATGCCTATAAATCTCACACATTAATTTTTTTTGTCATAAAAATCTTCTTAAGTCAATCTCAAATTACAGGGATATTTTAATTAACATTTCTGACTTTTTCTATATCAATTTTTATCATAAAATTTCCTGAACTAAGTATTACTTAAAATTTTTGTAAATATAATTTCCTTTCAAATATCCAATTTTTAAGGAAAGAAAGTAAGTGGTTTTAGTAGTAATCTTACATGTTATAGTTAGAGTTGGTGGCTATGTATTTTCTTACTGGTTAGAATGTTACTAAATTGCCAAGTTATTTCCTTTTTCTTATTTTTACGATTGAGGAAATTTTGAAAAGTGGTGGATAGTATGAAATTCTAGGAAACGACCATTTAAAAATATTTTGTGTGAAGCTGGACATGGTGGTGCACCCCGACACTTAATTTACAGAGTGGGGGTGGTCGCAAGTCAGGCCAGAACGGGCTGCACACTTGCCTGAGATCTGAGAGGTGGGCGGATCTTCCCAAAAGCCCCCCCGAGAGCACGTGGATGGGAACCATGTGTCAGGCGGAGCTGTGAGGCAGATGATGTCAAACACAGTTAGTTTCTGCCGTGCCAAATGGAACGAGGGAAAGACCCCTGGAGGAGCCTTGGCACTGACCATGACTTAGATGGAATCTTCAGCTTTGTCATTTAGGATTAAACCATGCTTGGAGACGTGTAAATGAGAGAAATAGCAGGCAAAGGCACGAAGAACAAATTGCCTCCAGTGTTTAGTTTCATATAGGTCACGGAGATAGAAGCGTCCCTTTCTAAGGGAAATGAATGGGTTCTAAGGCTCTGTTTGCAGTGCGAAAAAATGCAGAGGAAATATTTTCTTAGAACAGTCAGCAAAGGTTTTGTACCTGAGGACAAATAAGATCAGGTTATTCAGAAAGGTTGACTTATTTATGTAATTTCTTATGTCAGGCCACATAAAATTGCCTCAATTAAACAGTTTCTGACCTATAGTTTTGTGTGATTCAGCTAAGAACTATGGTACCACATATAACCTCATTGAATACTTCCTAATATTTTCATATAATGATTAGGCATAAACTTAGGGGGCCTTGAACTTAGTCTGCCTAAAACTGCATCATTTATCTTCCTATCTATCTATCTATCTATCTATCTATCTATCTATCTATCTATCTATCTACATCTATCTATCTATCTATCTATCATCTATCTATCATTTATCTATCTCTATCTATCTATCATTTATCTATCATTTATCTATCTATCTCTATCTATCTATCATTTATCTATCATCATTATTATTATCTATCTATCATCTATCTATCTTCTCTATCTATCTATCTATCTATCATCTATCTACTATCATCCATCTATGAGTCCATCCATCCATCCATCCATCCACCCACTCACCCACCTACTCTTCCATAATAGAGATAGTGAAACAACTACCAAAATTTGGTGAATATAAATTCATTTTTCTTAGGCCAGGCAGTGGTGGTGCACACCTTTAATGCCAGCATTTGGGAGGCAGAGATAGGTGAATCTCTGTAAGTTCGAGGCCAGCCTGGTCTACAAGAGCTAGTTTCAGGACAGGCTCCAAAACTACAGAGAAACCCAGCCTCGGAAAACCAAAATAAATAAATAAATAAATTTTCTTCAAATATGGAAACTAGATTTCCAAAGCCAAAGTTGTCAGAGATAGTTTTCTCTGAGGCCCTGACTGAGAATCTTCTCCATGCCTCATGCATCTTGCCAGGCTTCTAGAGACAGTAATCCATCCTTGGTTTGCCTCGACTTATAGGTCATCCTTCCAGTTTCTGACCTGATCAGCAAATGCTTGGTTCTCCCAGAGGAATATATACTAAAGCATTGACTCTTATGGGAAATTTCATGTGCTGCTGGTGGCTGATAATCCAAACAGAACAGAGTTAGAACTGACGATAACCACACAATAGATTCTCATGTTTAGACAAATATAACTTTTTCCTAATAAAATATCCTTGTGGGAAATTAGCATGTAATTATATTAAGAAAAACATCTAACTTAACATATATTTTATATGTATCTGAAGCACCATGTACTTTCTATGTCCATTACTAAATTTCAAAGAATTAAAATACATAGAACACATATTTATTAGTGCCACGGTGACCTTAATTTATGTACATGTTAAACAACAAAAAGGTGTGTGAGTTTATAGTGTATGAGAAGAGAGAAGGAAGAAACTCTGGAGCAAAGCATCGTTGACTGTTTTCTGTATTGAAAACCACCTGGGCATTTCCGGTAGTCATGGTCATTTTTCTCATGATGGAGTTATAGCATTAATAGAATAAACAGGAGGAGAAAAGGAGTTGGGGTTCTTTTCTGTTTATATAACCTCCATCACCACACACACTTAGTACTGAACACGCTGTGGGGAGGAAGTCCCTTCATTCTGCATGCCTATGACCTTGTTTTTAACCTTTTATTTTGAAGCAGTCTTAGACTCACTGAAAATACCACTTTGCTCCTCACACACACCCCATTGTCTCAGACGTAAGAGCTAACTGGCTTGCAGTTACCATTGAGGTTTTTCCGTGGACTTTGTAAGTCATAAATCAAATATGAAGCAAGAATCTCTCACTGGTAGCAGATGTCTTTACGTTTCTCGACACTTCCTTGCTTTGCAGGCTGTGCAGATACGATTATATTTTGCTTTTCTCTTTGTGTCTGCCAAATAAATTATATGTAAATAGAGACTGAGGTTTGTTTCCTGACCACACCCAAATAATCACACAGAAACTATGTTAATTGCAACATTGTTTGGCCAATAACTCAGGCATATTTCTAGCTAGCTCTTATATCTTAAATTAACCTATTTCTTTTATTTTGTATTTTACCACTAGTCTCATGGTTTGTTACCTCTTGATCCTTGTGTCCCTTTGACTCCGCCTACTCTCTCTATATATATCTCTGTTAGGATTTCCTGCCTGGTTTTACTCTGATAAGCCATTGGCCAACACAGCTTTATTCATTATCCAATAAAAGCAATACATATACAGTAGGACATCCCACATTATAAATATCCTTTGCAACAATAGCAAAGTCACACTCAAGATTTTATGAAAGCAAAGAGATAAATTCAAGTATCAAAATTTGAATATATTGTTAAGTGTAGCATATTCATCATGGACTGAGTTTTGCTAGCTTAAATTGAATCTCCACTTTCAAATAATAGCACGGGGGCAATGGAATTGTATTTCAGGGGTGCTCCATGTATATGAAAGTTTTATCCTTTAAAAAACATATCTAGGGGGGGCTGGAGAGATGGCTCAGCGGTTAAGAGCATTGCCTGCTCTTCCAAAGGTCATGAGTTCAATTCCCAGCAACCACATGGTGGCTCACAACCATCTGTAATGAGGTTTGGTCTCTTCTTGCAGACACACACACAGACAGAATATTGTACGCATAATAAATAAATATAAAAAAAACATCTAGGGATCTATATGATTCTGTAATGTGTGACTTGTTTTCAAAATAAATAGCTTGATTATTTAAGAAATTTATGTTCCCTGATGATTTATACTGTCTCTGGAAATTTGGAGACTGATAAGAAAAATTCTAGAAGGGAGATAAAATTTCCAGCTGTGTGGCTCAGCATCTGGGAAGGTTATATTCTTTTAACTGTAAAATCTTTCACTAAATAGCCAGTATCAAGTCTGAGAGTGTGTCTTAGTGTAGGTATTCGGAATACATGGTGTTTTGACTCTCATGAAAAACAGTTATGCAAATGTGTCTGATCATAGATTCCAGAGATAGAGACACTGTCTTTCATCTCTTCACTATATTACTATCTATGTGACTGTTCGTGTCATAAACTACTGCTCAATCTGTCTTTCAGCTGTAAAGTGGGCTTAGGAGCATCTAGCTCACAGTAATCTAGGGAAGATTGAAGTGAGATTTCCCATATTAAAT